CTTAAATGCCAACACTCTTCTTCATTTCCAGTAACTTCTGCGGTATCTCAAGGTTTTATCCTTAATCCTGTTTTGTTTCTTATCTATATTAGTGATCTTCCTGGCAACCTTACATCTAAAGTGGCTCTATTCGCTGGTGACTCAACTTTATACTACTACCTTGACAAAAATTCAATCTTGAATCTGATCTAACCTCTGTAACAGATTGAGGCTTGCGTGGCTTGTGAATTTTAACTTCAACCAAACTTAGTTATTTACTACAACCAAACTTAGTTATTTACTTCAACCAAACTTAGTTATTTACTACAAATAACTATATTATACAAATAGCAATACTGTTGACATTCCTATATTGATAAATAGCAAACCCTTCACTGAGTCCTCTTGTCGGATTATCATTCACTTATGACCCTTCATGGAAACCATAAATACAATTGATTGCTAAATGCAAATGCAAATCAAAAAGCAGCTGCTAAAGTTGCTTCTTTTTATCGTGCTTGCCATTTTCTTACTCCCGATTTCATTTTTACCTCTGCTAATCTCTTTTTTGCCCCTGTTTGGAATAATGTTGTCATATTTAGACTGGTTCTTCCAATGATGCTCTTATTTCTCAAGATAAGGTCCAAATATGCATTGTAAATGTAGTTGTGTAGTACCTGCTCTATCTGTCAAACTAGAGCCTCTCTTTCAACGTCGTCAAGTTGCATCTCTATTCTACAAATACTAACATGGTCCCTACTTAAAGGAGCTTTTATCTCTAGTTCCATAAACTCATTTTTGCTTGACTCGTCATTTAGCAAAGTCTCACCTCTTTACTGTATCTGTCCCTGTATGCCATAAAAATTTTTATTTGTTTAGTTTTTTCCCCTTAATTGAACCCTTTGGAACTTTCTCCTGTAATCATGTTTTTCTAACTCATACAGCCTACAAATTTTTAAGTCTTGTGTCAACCGAATTGTTACTCTTTAACTCTATTCTTTATTTTCTAATAACTTAACAGTTATTAGAAGTTTAAAATAACAAAAATGTGTCAACTCTGAATGTAACAAATACATTATAAACATTTGCAGCCACTTGTTAAAAGAACACACAAGACTTTTTTGGTGTACAACTTATATAATTAGACACAAAAAGCATATAATTACAAATAATTTTATTTGATAGGAAGAACTTTTTATTTGATCTTATTGGACACACATTATTTTGAATTAATTCTTTTAAGGCAATGATCTCTAAAAGATAGATGGATATCAAAAGGTAGATAGATGCTAATGGTAGAAAGATATCACAACAAAGTACTACAAAAAAAATCTTGAAAAATCATCAACGAATTCATCAAAGCTAAATTCTTTAAACTTTTTCTTGAAATCAATTACTGAAATGGCATTGACAACTTTTCTATGCAAACAATTACACTTTTTAACTACAGTGGGTTGCCAAATTATTAGGGACACTTTACTTTTTAAGTGATTTTAAAGTACAAACTACTTTAATGAATAAATATGTATCTTATTGTTATTTTTTTTATTGTTTTTATTGGTAGAGAGTTTTATTTAGAATATAAAACAACATAATTACCTATTCATTGCTATTTATTTTTTTATAAAAAGTTTGAAAACACGACAAATAAGGTAATAATCTTAATATTTTGTAACGCCACCCTTAGCTACAATAACAGCTTTCAGGCATCTGGGCATGCTATCTATGTAGACTTCTGCATTGTGTTGGAGACTGAGGTTGCTATTCCACTCTCTTATAAGGGTTTCTATCAATTGCTGCTTAGTAGTGATAATTTTTTTTGGCAATTTTTTGTTTATGAACTGTCATAAATTTTCTATAGGGTTAATATCAGATGAATTCCCTGGCCATGGCAAAACATGCACTTTTTTTTCAGTTAGGAATGCTGTAACACTTCTAGCTTTATGGGACGGTGCTGAGTCATGCATGAACATATACTCTTCATTACCAGGGAACCATTCTTAGACCTGGAGCAGGAGCCTGTTTTCCAGTAATTGCTTGTAGGAAGGTACCATATGGCAGGACCAATCCTGCTTCATGGTTTCTTCCACAATGTAAAGGCAGCCCATACCCTTGGCTGAGATCACAGACCACACCCCTACACTCACAGGATGTTGAACCTTTTCCAAAAGGCAGTCCTAGTGAATTTTTTTTCTGAGCATCGTCGAACAAATGAGCTTTTGTCCATCAAAATTTGAAATGCTGATTGGTCCGAGAAGCAGACCTGTAAAACATTTCAAAGATATTTGACCTGCAAAATATTTCAAAGATATTTCAAAAATAAATATTTATCCTTAAATTTTTCTGGTTTCTTACAATATTATAAATTATATTTACTCTACTCCAGTCTTCAATATTCATATTCTGGTGTTTTCTAGCCCATTCCAGTCGCTTTTTTTTATGGCTTCAGTTAAACATTCTTTTTTTGGTTGGACGGTAACACACTAAATTCTCTTTAACCAACCGTCCCTGAACCATCCTTTTGGAGACGTTAATTCCTTCATTGTTTATAATTATAGCTAGTTGAGTCACATTTTTTTTTTCTGTTTTCAAGATAGATGTCTTTAAATTTACAGTCATAACATGAGGTAGTGATCCTTTCCTGCCACTTTTGCTGACATGGTCTGGTTCTAGAGTCACATTTGTATCATTTTTTTTTTAAACTCGACTCACTACTGACTTTTAAACGCTCGCAACCTCTCTCTGAGAATGTGTAGAATGAAGAAGTAAGGTTTTTACTTTTCTGTTTTTTTGGGGGGTTCAGTCTGGAGACTAAAAAAATTAACGAGAGGTAAGAATAGTTGTATGTCAGGGATTTATGCATTAAAAGTAGCAAAAATACTAAATTAATAACTAAGCTAATTGAACTATTAACGAATATTTAGATTTCAATAGTTTTAAACTCAAAAAACTTGCAAAAAATTGTTCCAAAAATAAGTAACTGAAATCAATTTTGAATTTTTGACTTTCAACCACACTTTTCAAAAATTGACAGCTAATTGAGTAATAACCTAACTTTTAGACAGATTGGGTTATCACAAATTGCCACAGTTTAAAAACAACTATAGTTATATTAGTGACTATAATACACTCAAAACTTTTTATTTAAAAAAATTTATTTGCTTGCAAAAATCATTTAAACTTTAAAATTACTTAAAAAGTGAAGTGTCCAAAATAATTTGGCAACCCACTGTATATGGTTTGTAAAAAAATTGGTCTCAACAAAAAGTTTTTAATAAGATGTCTTCTCGACCTTTGATTGCGGCCTCTGTAAACCTACCCAATACTTGTGGAATGCAGTTCTAACTGATAATATCATGGTTGTTTATAAGTTCAAACATTTTAATGAGATCGCTGTTTTCTCTTCTATTTGATAGATTTTGTAAGCCCATTTCTTTTAATCTTTGCTCGTAACTTGCTCCCTTTCTTTAGTAGCCAATTTTTGCGGCTTTTTGTTGGACTTTTTCGATAAAATTTATATCTTTATTAAAATATGAATTCCATATTTAAGATGCATATTCCAAGAAGTATTTGAAATTTTTGAAATTATTTTGAAAATTTAGAAAATAACTCAATTAGAAAAAAAATAAATAATAATAAATCACTCTACACAGTTTGATCTTAACATCTTATTTAACTGGAAAAAAAAAAGGCTAATCAGTTTTAATAAGGATAAATGTGAAATCATGCAATTTGATCTAAAATAAAGTACACTTTAATATATATAATGCTACAGAAACAGATATCATTTTATTTTACAATAGTACAAGCTTCCTTCTTCCTACTTCCAATGAGATATTTTATTGATTGCTTGTAAAAATGATTGATAGATTAGTTCTCTTCATTGATACACTTAATAGCTTCAGCAGAATGTGAAAATCAGTGGTAAGTTTTAGGGTGGGCATGGGGGTAGTTGCCCCCCCCCCCCCCATTGGGATTGACTATTATAGGTAATTATACATATATGAACTTGATTATTACACTAAAGTACAAAAAGTTAAAAAAGAAAGTCACTTTTAAGTGAAAAAATGCAGACCTTTTTTTTAAAAAACCATTTTAGCCACCTCCTTGGTGAGTGACAAAACCCACCCCTTGTAAAAATATTGAAGTTTGTATGAACAATATTACATATATTAGAAATAGTACGAGAACATACTTTATAACAAAACCATATAAACTATATAACAACTATATAAACTATATAAACTATATAAACTATACAACAAAACCATCAGTAGGAGCAGACATTTAAATTTAAGGCCTTAAGTAATCTGGATCAAGATACTAAATATGATATACTTAATATACTGAACACAAGAAAGTTTATACATATTTTAAACAATATTATATCTAAAGTTCCTAAACAACAGCAATAAAAATAGCAATTAAGATTTACTACAACCTTATCGTTGTTGGTTTAAATAAATGGAAACATATTAATATAAATGTTAAAATTTAATAAATGTTATATGACAAAACAAGTTAAATAACATGTTTGAAATAATAAACTAACTTTAAGATTTTTAAAAAAGGCAAACAAGAAATGAAAATTAATTTGGATAAGTCTTTAATGTTTTTTTTCTTTTAAAATCTATTGTTTAACTTTATCTACACAAAAAAGAAAAAAGAAATCTTACATCTCTAGTAAAATGACCAAAATGAGAACTTTTTGAAGGAAAGCAAACTGAAAACACTCTTTCCCTTACTACTTTATTTCTTGACAAAGCATCTTTAATACTGTTTGAGAATTGCACTGTTCTAAATTTAGCATCCTCAGCTATCTAAAACAAAGTTTATTTTAAAAAGAATTAGCATAAATTAATTGGTTATATTTTAAGTTGATGCATGTATGTCTTGAATAGTTAATATAGGACTGACTTAAATTTCATTTCAATAATATAAATTAAACAAACAAAGAAATAAAACCTTAAAACTTGGGAACTTTTAAACTTTCTAAATTTTTATTTGAAAACTACAGTTAAATTTCTTGGTGACCAAGAAATTAAAATATAGCAAATAGCTTTTTGAAAAACTGTGATCTGATACCTATTAAGAAAATTAGACAAAAGAACAAAAATAAAAGGTTTAGACATATAATCATTAAATACAGGAGCTATTTTGGAAACAAATTGATAAAGAAAAACTGAATTTTATAAACTTCTTTAGAAGAGGCTTTTCTATCATTCCCGTGCATACAACCAAGCAATTTACATCCTAAAACCATAAAGGGAGTCCCATTAAATGATATTGAATCATCTTATTTTGATGTGTTTTGCAGAAGAATCTTTAAAGATAACAACAACAATTATATTTTCAATAATAACTATACGAATATAAAAGAAAATTAAAATTTAGCAATTGCATTTTAAAAACACTTAATTAAAATTGTCATACCCATATTTCCATAGTTTTTAGCAGCACTATAGCATGAAAACTTTGATACAGCCTCTGTTTCGTAGCTATGTATCAAAAAAAGTACTTCAACGTATGTTTCTACAGTAACCCAACTTCCTTCTTGAGAAATAACAACTAAAAAAATTTAAACAGTAACAAACATACAAACGTGGAAATTGATACTTCATTTAAAGCGTGCTTGTAAAGAAAATTCCTTTTTAGACAAAATATTTTAAATTATGAATATAAAAAGCTTATATTTTATTACTCGTTTAAAAACATGTTTTTAAATTTTTAAATTTCTCAGGAATGTCATTCCTGAGAAATGTTTTTAAACGAGTAGTAAAACAAACATCAACATAAGCTTTTTATATTCAAAATTTAAAATATTTTGTCTAGAAAAGTTAAAATGTCTTGTATTACCTCTACTCAATGTTGTTTTTTCTAATAAATTTAAATTATCATTATCTCTAATAACAATTTTTTTACCAATTTAAATTTAATCTTCGACGATAACCAGGTGAAAACGTGCTCCACATTTAAAGAATATTAATTATTTCATAAATTAAATTATAAATGCAAAAATTAATTATGTTAACTCTGTCCTGGACGTGAAGCGGGACAATTGCGGAACATTTTACGGGACCTAACTTTACGCTATGGAATCATGTACTTACCTTTCTGTGCACCTTCAGCGGGTCGTTGATACGAGTTTCAACATAAAACGGCAGAACAACAGAAACGGCCTTTATTTCCAGACTATTTATTCTTAAGACTATGGTTAAAGTTCGAAAGGTAACTGTATCTAGTTTTTAGATTTAAGATTTTAGCGTTTACAAAAAGAAGGAGTTGTAAACTTTACATGATCATAATTTACAAAATATAAAAGATTATACAATAAAGGTTATTACCTTTTACATTTTACCGATTACATTTTAAACAAACATTTTGTTGCAATATTTAAAATACAAATGTATAACAATAATAAAAGATCTATATAATGATTGTTATTAAAAAATAAAATAACGTGGAGACTCGTAGATGACCGTCGCCGAGTATCGTTAAAAAATGTTCATGTTAAAAATAATTACAAATTTACAAGATAAAGAATCCCGACCGGCATTTGTTTTTAAAAGTTACGTTCTAAATGTATTTTAAATGTCTTTTAAACGTTTTTTGCGTAAGAATGTTTAGAACACGTTTAAAAGACATTTAAAATACATTTAGAACGTAACTTTTAAAAACAAATGCCCGTCGGGATAAGTTAACGAAAAAAAAATTTTTTAATGTTCCCTTTTAAAAACAATATGATGTAAACAGATGTGTTGTATCAATTTGTATAAATTCATGTTTAAGTAGAGAGTAAAAAAGAAGATCATTAAAAAATTTCTTTAAGCTTTTGTTTAAATAAAAAGTAGTAATGATGAATAAATGAGTAAAAATCCCCAGTGAAATATTTAGAAATATTTTATTCCATAAGAATAGTCCGCGATAATCAATACAAAATTTGAAAAAAATTATTTGAAAAATATGCTACTTAATAAAATATCATTTTCTAAATTTTATTTTTATCTTTTGATGAATAAAAATTATGGAAAGAAATCAGGAATAAATTGGTTTTACATTTAAACATAGAACAAAGAGTATTAAAAATATGAGGTTTGTATATATAAAAAACTTTATTTTTAAGTAATTGATGCTTGGCATGAGAATATCGATTTTTAAAATATATAAGATGTGCTACATGCTTCTGCAGACAATAAAGCAAGTTTTTTTTAAAACTCATTATCCTAATGTTTGGGGTAGTTGCTATTTTGAACTTAGTCTTAACTTATTTTAACCGTAATTTTTTTGCACAACGTTATATTTTGACTTAAACATGAACATAATAAGTTTGAAGCAATTTGGAAATTGTTTAGACAATTCCTGAAAATATCATATTTGATATTTTCAGGAATTATATACGGTAGATATATAAGCCCTGGGGACACCAGATATAAAAATATCTGGTGTCCCCAGGGCTTATATGTCTACCGTACCCTCCCCTTCTTGCGCATATGAGCTTCTTAAACAAACAAAATTAGCGCGTTTTCCTCATTCGCGGTTCAACGCCTCCTCTGTATAACTTTTGTAGCATCGAAAAGGATGGAGACGTGAACTTCATTGCAAACGCTCTTTTGCGTTGCTCTTTAATACGACCGTAATGAATTCTTTGGGCCCCTAAAATAAATAAATTTAAAAATATTTGATTTTCAGAATAAATACTTAAGTTCATATCTCAACTCAGATCAAGGTATTAACTTTTTTAAATGATGTAAACACGTGTTTTATTAATAACCCAATCTTCCAAAATTAAACAATCATATAAAATACTTCAAAACAAAATCTAATACAAACTACCCAGATATATAAATCGGCGTCTTTGATTGATAATATTATTACAACAGATATATTCAACAATGACATTCAAACAGGTATCCTAAAATCTGATATAACTGACAATTTTCCGATATATTTGACAATTAATTCTGAAATTAAAAATAAAATAAACAAAATTAAAACCTGCATTTTTAACCATACAAATATAAAGTTGTTTAAAAACCAACTATCGTTACTGCACTGGAAGCATATTAACTTCAATGACAATGCAGACAAAATTTATGACTTTTTTGAAACCTTTTACTCCGTTTATGACGCAAACTTTCCTATTATTGAAAAGACAATTCCAAAATATAAAAATAACCCTTGGATACCAAAAGACAACTCCAAAATATAAAAATAACCCTTGGATACAAAAAGAATTTAAAAAATCATCCAAGATTAAACAGAAGCTGTAAATTAAATATCTTAAAACGAAATCATCAGATAATGAGAAAATATATAAAAATTACAAATATCTCTTTGAAAAAGTTCGTAAAAACTTGAAAAAAAATTATTACACAAGACTCCTAGATAAATTCAAAAACAACACAAAACGCAATTGGCAAATAATAAACGAAGTTACTGGCAGACAAAAAAAATGCTCAGATTCTCTTCCCCAGATGGTTAACAAGTAGTTGATAACAAACGCATATGCGAACCAAAGGCTATAGCTCATGAGTTTAATAAATTCTTCACTGACATCGGTCCTAAACTAGCAAATAAAGTTCCTTATACCAAAGCAACATTTGACGATTTTCTAGTACAGATGGATAATTGCACAAGTTCCAACAAATTATATTCTGAGCTAACTTTTCATGAATTCGAAAAAGCATTCAAATCCCTTAAAAAAACAAAGCAAGCGGAGCAGATGACATAAACGGTAATATAGTTATAGAATGTTTTGAACAATTAAAATATATACTTTTTAAGGTTTATGGAGCATCTATCCACCAAGGAGTTTTTTCGGATCAATTAAAAATTGCTAAAATTACCCCAATTTTAAAAGAGGGAGATCAAACAAATATCAGTAATTATCGTCCTATCTCCGTCCTCTGCACGTTCTCAAAAATACTAAAACGCATTATGTATAATAGATTATACAATTATCTCCTTTCTAATGATTTGTTATACGCCAACCAGTTTGGTTTTAAAAAAATAATTCAACGGAACATGCAATTATCCAACTTGTACGTGAAATTTCAAATTCTTTTGAAAAATCTAAATTTACATTAGGTGTTTTTATCGACCTATCGAAGGCTTTTGATACTGTAGATCATGAAATTTTGATACAAAAACTGAAATACTGTGGAATAAATTACAAAGTTATAAAATGGTTCCGAAGTTATTTATCTAACCGTAAACAATTTGTTTTTAGTAATAGTTGTTATCCAAATGAGTTCCTAAATGTTTCATGTGGCGTTCCCCAAGGTTCCATTTTGGGACCAATGCTGTTCTTGATTTATATAAACGACCTAAATAAAGCCTCAAATTTAATGAGTATAATGTTTGCTGATGACACCAACTTATTTCTTTCCAATAATGATATTTACAAATTCTTTTTTAGTAAAAACATATCAAAATGGTTTAAATGCAATAAGCTAACTCTTAACAGTAACAAAACAAAATGGATTCCCTTCCATCCAATCGCAAAAAAACCTTATTTACCCCAAAATTTACCAGAAATCTTTATTGATAATACTGTGATAAAAAGACACTATGTAACAAAGTTTTTGGGTGTTTTTCATGATGAAAACATCACATGGAAAGCGCATATTGACTATATTAGCACAAAAATTTCTAAAAGCATTGGAATTTTATATAAATCCAGAATATATCTATGTAAAAAAGATTTAACCCAACTATACTACTCATTTATTCATACCTATTTAAATTATGCAAATATTGCTTGGGGAAGCACAGAAAAAAGCAAGTCACAATTTTTTTACCGCCGTCAGAAGCATGCGATCCGTTTAATTAATTTTGCGGATCGATACACTCATTCCAAATTTTTTTTTATTGAAATGAAAATTCTTAATACTTACGAGCTTAATGTGCTTAATGTTTTATGCTTTATGTATTTGTGGAAAAATGACTTATCCCTACCTATCTTTAAAGTTCTCTTTTGTGAAAAACCAATAATAAATACACTCTTAGAAATAATAAAGTTTTGCATAAACCTTTTTGTCGAACAAAGTTTAACCAGTATGGTATTGCTTAACGCGCGCCATATCTTTGGAATAAAGTTGTTTTGCCAAATTTTAAAATATTTTACACTTTTCCAATTTTCAAACGTAAACTCAAAAATGTTATTTTATTTTCCGATGACATAATAAGGTTCTTCTAATTGTAATTATGTACCTTTATTTAGAACTTTTTTAATTGTAAAATACGTTTTATGTTAATTGTATATACGTTTTATTTTTTATTTGTATATACGTTAATTGTAAAATTCGTTTTATGTTAATTGTAAAATACGTTTTATGTTAATTGTTAAATACGTTTTATGTAACGACTCTTTTTGTTTTACTTTTCTGTTTATTTTATATATAGATTATATACATTGTAAATAATTATGCTAAATGCTTGTAAAAGGTTCTGATAAGAAGATCAGCACGATCTTCTTTCAGAAACCTTGTTTGTATTTGTTAAAGTATTGTATTACGACAAATGTAAACTTAAAATGTAAAAAAAAAAAAAAAAAAAAGATATAAATGATTCAAACTTCTTTTTGAAAACGTTTGTAAAAATTTTATAAAAAATTATTTCTCTAAAATAATTACTAAATATAAAAATGACTCAAAAGAATTTTTAAGAATATATACAAAAAAAATAGAAAAGCAGAAAACCTGCTTAAATATCCTACGAAAAGTTAATAAAATAAACAACGTATGTATATGAGAACCGAGTGAAATAGCGATTAAAAAGAAATACTTTACTGATATCAAAAGTTATTTTGCTATTAGGATTCCATCTTTTAATACTTCCATTAATCAATTTTTAAAATCTACTAATAGTTCATTTTTTTAACATGATTTATTGCTAGTTTTATTATTTAAAGTGATTTAAAAAGCCTTTATATTTCTAACAAGAAACAAAGCAATCTCTGCGAACCAAGTTACTGGAAACACAACTATAGATTGATATGAACACTTGAACAATATTATTTTTAAAGTTTTTAATTTTTAGTTATTGCAATTCACAAATACACAAATGATTGAAATAATAAAGCTTTGGATCTAATGAGCTTGGTG